CGTGCTGTTCCTTTCTCTCCCCCGTGCAGGTCGCAGACGGCGGAGGAGCGGAAGCGGAGCTGCAGCAGGCGATCCTGCTCATGCTTTCAGTACAGCCCGACACATTCCAAAAGAGCTCAACGACTTCATCCAGTCGGACCTCTCTGTCTGCACAACTCGTCGTTTCTTCGCCCTGCAGATACTGCAAGCCTGCGGAGGAGGACAGCCTCTAATTTCCCAGCGTCACCTTTCTGGTGTAAGCTCCCAGCGCTCACGCTCGCCGAAGATCTCACACCCCCTCGCATTGGGGCGCCTCAGGACGCCAGCCGGGCTGGGGGGGAACCGAGGCCGAGACGGGAAGGGGCCGCCAAGCTCGAGGAGGCTCCGGGGCGCAGCCGCAGCCTCACCGGCCGCGGAGGAGGGCTGGGCCCGGGCTCCGCGCGGCTGCACAATCCGAGCCCCCGCCCCGCGCCCAGTCCCGCCCCAGGCCCGGGCCCGACAAAGAAAGCGCCTTACGTTTCTCCGCCCCACGCCCGCACCCCTGGGCCGGGCGCCTGTATTATACTTTGTACTTTTGCCCAAACATGTAAATAATAAAAGTTTCGGCTTTTTTTTTTTTTTGAACCCGGCCACCTGCTTCCCCGGCGGGGGTCTCTGGAGGAGGGGCGGCCGACCGGGTGGTTGGGGGAAGCGCCAGGGGCTTGGGGCAGCCCTGCGCTTAGGCAGGGTCCACTCCTCTCCGTTCTTTTATTTAAGTCATTTTATTTAATAAAAAAAGTTAGCTATTTCACTTAACGCCGCTTTTATTTCGTTTTCGTTCCAATAACGTTCGGCGACCCCGGCCGGTGCCCCACTCCTACGGCGGAGGAGGCCGAGCCGCGCTGTGCGGGGCGAGTCCACTTCTCCAAGGTTCGTCCGTATTCGCCTCAGCTCGAACCCCGGCTCGGGCCCCGCGGAGGAGCCGCGGTGCAGGTCAGTGCGTGCCGGCCGCCCTCGGTCTGGGTGCCCGCGGGACGGGGTGCACGTGGGACGGGCCCTCGAGGCCCAGAGGTATGACCAGCGCCAGAGGTGGGGAGCGAAAGGCCGCTCCAGGTCAAATCCACGTAGAGGGTGGCGGGCACGGTGACCTCGAGTGTCCGGCAGCTCGGAGCCGCCCCACCCCCAGTCCGCAAGCTACTGCAGCCCACTCTCTCCGGTAAGACCTCGGAGAGGCCCAGGGCAGGGCCCACGGGCCGGCTGTCGGGGATCTGGGCGCAGAGGGAGCCGGTGAGCATCCTGGTTCCCCAACGCTCGGCTCTGGGGACTATTCCCACGCACAACCCCAGGACACCCGCGCTCTTTTAGCTTGCGTGGGGCCACAGGTAGCGCGTGACGTCATGTGACATCACTGCAGCCTCTGCGGACCAGAGGGGGGTGGCGCCAGGAACGCCCAGAACCCCAAGTCCAGGCCCGGCCCCCCCAGCTTTACCTGGGCTCAAAAGCAGGAAGTTTGGGGATCGCGGGGTTGGCAGCGCGAGGCCCTTCCCACACCGACAAACACACTCCAAGCGTCAGTGAACATCCATTTCCTCTTGCCTTTTCCTTTTACCATCCTCCCTCTCTGTCTTTTAAAACTTTTCTTACTTCCAGCCCCTCCGCTTCTTTCTCTGTCTCCTCCTGCTCGCTGTGTGCCTACATCCTTTCCCCTTTCTTTACAGTTTTACGCTTCTCTGCCTAGTTGGTCCTCTGTTGCTTTTAGTTTCTCGAACGCTTTGTCACATCCCCTCTCCCTCTCCCTTCCTCCCTCCACGTCTGTCTCCGACTCTCTCTAGGTTTCACTTTCCGTGTCTCCTCCTTTTTGTCCTTTCTGTTTTCTTTCTCGTCTCTAAGGATCTCTTTGCCTCGGTCTCTCCCTCCCCCTCCTTGCGTCCCAGTAACTCCCCGAGACTAAACCCCGGGGGCGCTGCCCCAGAGGCCCCGTAGCAGTCCCACCCCCCTCCTCCGCCCCCTCCCCCAGGCCAGGAGCCACCAGTGAACGCGGGGGTTGGTGCCCCTTCGCTGTACCCGGGCAGCGGGATTGCCTGCAGTGACTCGGCTGGAGGAAGGGCGAGGGCGAGGGAGGCTAAGAACAGAGCTGGAGCTCCCGGTGCTCCTGCCGCCCCTTCGCCCCAAACCCGGCTGATCCCGAAGCGGGGGGCACGGACACTGCAGACAGGGCCTAGGGTGACTCAGCTGCTGCCTCTTCCTGGGTGTTTTCCCGAAATGCGCGGTCCTCTGCGCTCCGAGGCCCGAGGAACGCCCTCACCAGGATGCGACGGGTTGGCCCTCAGGTGGGGACTTGAGCATCTAAGAACCAGCGCGACTTTCTTGGCCTTTGCTGCCCGCGCAGCCCCTTCTTCGGGGCTGCCGTCACGTCCCCAATTTCCTTCGCTCTTATTCCATTTCTCCAGAATCATAAGCTGAGTGGGTTTTGTTTTTCCGGATTATTTTTGTGGTTTTGCCAGGGTAAACCTCGATCCTTGGGCCTTTGGGGGACCCACGCGCACGTTTTTCTTTCTCTCTGCTGCCTCGCTTTGAGCAAAAGGCCTCTGGCCGCAAAGTTCACTCCGGGTGGGGCAGGCGCAGGGATGTGGCCTGGTCTCAATGCGGCCCTGGAGGGCGCCGGGTTTCCCCCACCCCTGTCCGAGCGCCTTGCCCCAACCTCGGCTTGAGACGGGCCAGGAGTGAGGGGACTGAGCCCCGCTCCAGTGGGACCTGGTCTCCACTCCCTGCCTCCCCAGAGCGACGCGGCGCCCCCAGCGGGTGGGGGCGATGGCTGAGCGACGCGAGGGTGTTCAGAGCCTAATCTCCCTCCCCTCCCGATGCGTAAAGCTGGAGGCAGCCGTTTCCACTGTGGCTGCGCCTTGAGCGACGCGGCTCCCAGCCCCGGGTCAGGAGGGCGGTGAGGCAGAGTCTGGGCGCGGATCCGTCCGGGTCAGGCAGGCGCCCCTAGGGCCTAGGCTGAGCTCAAGGGAAAGAGCCAGCGGAGGCTGGGAGGCCCAGTGGGCTCCTCCCTCGCGATCCTCACCCAACATGAGGGCTCCCTTTGGCCTGAGGACGCGGCCCAGGCTCCGGAGACGGTGAGAGGGTGGGCGCCCAGCCCGGTCTCCGCCGCCGGAAGCACTGGGCCTCTGGGCCCGAGCCGAGACTCCGCCTCGCCTCCCTTCCCCGCAGCCGCCCTCGCCTCGGTTCCAGCGTCTCCAAAGCCAGAGCCGGGCCCATTTTACAGACGCAGGGCGGGGAGGCAAGAGGCGGTCCCCTGGCCCCGGAGGGCTGGGCGTGCGCCCTCTCCCCGTGCGCCGCCCGCAGGCGCGGAGGCCTGGGCCCGAGGAGCCGGCGGAGGCTGGAAGCTGCCTGGCCAGGACCCGCAGTCAGGCCACGTTCAGCTCCCCTGGAGCCTCCGCAGCCCGTGGAGTCCAGAGTTGGGGGCGCAAGGGTTTCCGTCCTGAACAGAGACAGAAAGACAGGGGGGGGGGCGGCACTCGCTTCCAGCGCGTGGGAATGACTCCCCTGCCGCGCTCCCCGTGCAGAACCGGTTCACACGACTGAACGACGTCCCTACCAGGTCGGATGCTCCTCCCCACTTTGCAGTTGAAAGAACTGATGCTCAAAAAAGTTAGTTCAGGGTCGTGCAGCGCTCAGACCTGCGCTCTCGCCTCCAAACCTGCGCTCTCCAGCACTTGGGAGCAAAGGGGGGCTTTGCCTAGTGAGGGCTGCAGGGGCTGCAGGGGCCCGTGGGTCTAGGTGGACAGAAGGGCCTTCCCGTCCCAACTCGGGCGGCCTCGGGCTCCTCCGAGATCAAGGGGAACCAGCAGGGCTTGCCTCCCCGCCCGAGAGCGGGCCTCCGTGCAGGGAGGAGCTGGGAGACTTAGCCGCGGCCGCCTCCGCTCAGCGGGGAGACCCGAAGGCCTGCTGCGCCCCTGGGCCGGGCCACCTTCGCCCGCCGCTTGGTGAGCGGCTGGAGCCCGCAGCACTTCACACGGACCCGCGGCCGAAGGACGCGCCCCTGGCCAGGCCCATTCGGCCGCCGGCTGAGCGGTGTCCGTGGCCAGGCCTGGGCGGCAGCAGGCGGTGCGCGTCTGTTCCGCAGCGACCGGCTACGCGCTCCGGGGTAGAGGCCTCGGAATTTAGCCTCCAACTTCCCGCCGGGGCCGCCTGGCCACGGACCTGGCCTGGGCTGCGACAGCACTGAGGGTCCTGGGAACCTTCGCCAAATTCCAGCCTCGGCCTCAGCGCCCGCAAAACGCAACCCGAGGCCGGGCGCAGAGCGTGGCGCAGGCGCCGCGTCCTGGGCGGGTTTCTAACGCAAAATCCCAGGCCCGCGGAGAGGCCCCCTCAGTCCCAAGCAGCCACTTGGTTAGGAGCCTCTTCGGTCAGCGACGCTCGGACCCAGCCGCTAATTTTTGTGTGCGGTTCAGACACTTGCACTGTCCTGCCGAGGGATCCGGCCTCCCTCCGCCACCAGCACCGGCCCACGGAGCGCGCCGCTGAATTCTGTCACCTCCTTGCGGCGGCCCCTGAGCGAGTGGCGTTTCCTCTCTGCGCTGTGGTTCCCGCCGCTGTAAAATGAGGACTACCTAGTCGTTAAAGGCCCTTCCGGGGAAAGTAAAAATGTCACTTTATTGTGAGAATAGAATCATTTTAAACATATCTTTACGAATCAGGAACCTAATTAAATGCCTTCTAATACCGCGGGGGTTTGATTGGAGGCGTTGCTTTTGGGGAGGAAAGGGCAGGGATGGGCCATGTTCCGACTCCCATCAGCTCTGCTGCCATCACCAACGGGGAGACTGGCAGAGGAGTGATGAGACCGGCCCGGCTTGATCTGCTGGAGGTGCCAGTATCCTGGTACTGCCTGAGATAGGGGCCGTGTCTGCCTCCCACTCTAGTTGAAATGATCCCACTAAGGTGTTCTGGTGTCAGACCCATTACTTAGTTATTAAACCCCTTTGATATGACCCCAATTGATATGGGGTAGGAGAAGGGAAAAAAATACCAACAGAATATTTAATCAGAGGATTTTACACCTTCCACCGTCCCATTGAATTCCCAGAAAGACCCTGGGTCCCATTCTACAAACAAGGAAGTTGGGGAGCAGAAAAGGCAGGCGACCAGGTCCACCCCGCACCCCGACTCAGCTCTGGACTCCAGCCCGGGTCGCCTGCTCTGGCTGCATCCCGACCGCCGGTTGCAGCCTGGAAAAGCCCCGCCGGCC